ACTTCATGAGCAAAGCACCAGCTCCACAACTGTCCCTGCTTCATGCAGCTGCTGAGAACCTAACACACTGCTGCAGATGCTGTCCTGGATGGGGGTGACACTGCAACTGCTTATAGAAGTCTGTAAAGAAAGAAGCCAATGTCCAAAGGTACCTCAAAGAAACGTTAAGTTCAGTCACGGAGAGATATGTCTTTCTGTATTTCCTCCATATGTAACAAGAACATCAAAATATCAGCATAACAGATATGCCCCAGCTGTAGAGATTCATAACATCATAAATGCACCGAGATGCTACAGCAGTGAGAAGTGCCCTATACGCATATACTGTATATGCTACGCATCTTCACCACCAGCTGTTTTTTCTAGATGCTGTTCATCATCACTGGAAGCTAATTAGTTTAAGGGCACAGAAAACACCTATTATAAGCTGAAAGGAGGAAAGAAGGCATCCTGTCATATTGAATAAATAAAAGGGAATACAGGTTGGGAAAGAAAGAGAGGGAAGGACAAAATAAGAGGTTTCTAGAGCTAACCCTGCCTCAGAGTGGCGCGGCTCACCTCTCTCATAGTACCTCTATTTTCTTCTTGGAGCATGGGTGGGAGGTGAGGGCATGGGCAGGTGGCCATGGTGCCGAGTCCCATCTAGTGTGGGCTCTTACTCTGAGGCTGACACCCACATTGGCCAGAGGAGAGGCTCCCAGACAATCCTGGTAATGGGCAGGGATCTCAACATGAAAAGTCGGCGAAAAGGCGAGGAACTGTCATAGTGATTTCCATCCATAGCCCTGGGTTTCTCTTAACCTGAAGGCCTTCAACTGAAGGGCTTTTCTGCCCCTAGCTTCCACCCTCAGTCAAGTTTAAATTTTGTTTCTTCATTTTTAAACAGGGCAAAAATATAAACCAGAGACTGAGCTTTGCCAGCTTAATGTTTTTTTCAGATGTTGCTCCGTGGGGTCGCTCTTGCTTTACTGTGGTGCAACTGGAACAAATTCCAGGCCCTTGAGGAAGAATTGTAGTTTCAAGGGTTTACATTTTGTTTTCCCTGGACTGATGAAGGTCAAACCCTTTTATCTGCCCTGCCCAGGGCAGATCCCCAGTAGCACGTGACCTCCTTCCCCACATCATCCCAGCCTGATTAAGGAGAGTCTCTTACCCTGGGAGAACTGTGGGAAGTTTGGTCTACATGTTCATACAAACTTTGTCCTCAGACTGTCAACAAGGGCTCCAGCCAGCTATGCCCACTATTTATTTTGATAGTGACTGTTTATTATGAACAGAACTATATTCTTAAATTTATTTGGCAAAGACTAAGAAAAAAAATGTCTGCTGAGCACAGCACAGCCTGTGCTAGGACTCTCACTAGGAGAGGTCAGAGGGGTGATGCTGCTTCACAGTATTACAGAAGCTTTGGCACATGGTCACAGGGGAAATGGTCTTCCTGAAGTCGTACTGTAGAGCAGTAGCAGAACTGGATGTAGAAGCCAGTTTTCATGACCGACAGCCTAAACCTGAAGCAACCCAAGGTAAAAGCCTCTGTCTGCACCACTGCTCAGCTCTGGAGACACACAGGCCACCCAAACCTCTCTGAAATCGCACACTGGAAACCCATCTCCTTGTGAATTAAATATAACCAAGGAGAGCCCAAAGCACAGATTGGAAAACAAATCCTGGTGTTTTGGCCACAGTCAGAAACACTCCCAGTGTGATAGCACAGGTCCTGGGTTCAGACATTTAAAGGACAAAGGGCATTAGCAGGCGGCATTCCCAGAGAAGCATCCTGTCCAGTGGGTACATCACTAACAGCTGGCAATGAAATCAGATGACAGCTTTGGAGGCTGTGTTTGGAGGGCACTGAGCTCCTCAGCTCCTGCTGCCTTCAAAAATAAAAAGGGATGCACAGCACTTCAAAAACAAGACTAAAAACGTCTAGATACAAGTTGCAAGGAATAAAATGCATATTAAAGTAAATAAGTGATGAATAAGTCAATGTCTAAAATGAATGGCTTGAGATCTTTATGAAGGTGGATTATCTTAAAGAAGTCTCAATATTTGGTGCCTTGGTAACTCCATGAGGCCCTGTTCCTTGCATTTATGTTTAGTCATGAGCTCTGTGATTTGTAACCCCAGTTTCCAGCAGCTGCCCTTCCATTTAGTTGCTGAATTGAGATTCTGCCATGACTTAAGAATAAAGATGGCTACTTGTAAAATTAGAGGTCAATTAACTCCACCAGTAGATGATGCCACTTGTAATAACTGCTCTCAGTGGGTACCACTCTTCCTGTACGAACACAGAAGACGAAATGAGGTCTCCGTTGGCTCTGGATGCTCTCTCGGGTACATGACATACAGCCCTGTGTATAAAATGTCAAAACAGCCCTGTCGGAGATTCACTGGCTGCTAAAACTGTGAAGATCTCACAGCACCGTGGATTGCTGTTGACAGAACAGCAGCGCCCAACATAACACATGCCTTGTTAGCAAACTGGAAGCCTCTCAGTAGTCTGGGGTGAGGGTATAATAGAAGAAGCCAACGAAACGCAAGCCAGGCCTGTGGAGAACAGCAAGTGAATGAACCTTGGCGGAGAGTCCAAGCAAACCCTCAGACTAGCTCATTTTTCCTCTCTTTCAAACTCTCTCTTCTGCAAACATGGGCAGTTCTCAATGAGAACCTCCCGCCATGTAACTCAGCTGCTGCAATCAGCAGCATCTTCACCAGCAATGCCCATGACTGGCACAACTGGCCTGCACAAAGCACTGGGAAAGCCCCATCGCCAGTTTTTAGACAAGCGAGACCCAAGGTGACATGCTGACCATCCTACCATGCCAGTGGCTCTCCCCTACACAAGCAGCCATGTCCTTGCTTTTGGCACTGCTCCCAGCCACAGGGCACCCCAGTCAGCGGCAGGACACCACAGGCACGCCCAGCCAGGCTGGGGGCAGGCACGCAGGTGGGCTCTGGGGCAGGGAGAGACCCCATACTGCTGTGGTTCTTGGCTATGGCTTCTCTGTCCCTGCCTTCCAGTGCCCCCATAAACCACTTTCATGCTCCAGCAGAGCACTATGACATCTCAGCATGGTGAACGCTGGGTCATCCCAGGGAGCCAGTATTGCTTTGGCAGGGCTGTGAAACAAAAGAAACATCAGCCTCAGAAACACTTCTTTATTTGCTGCTGCTGAAGAAACAAAACCTTTATGTGCAGTAACTTTGCTTTAAACAATAACATTTGTGGATCCTGTTATTAACCTTTGGGATCTGGCTTTCAAATTCTGCCCTGTTCTTTTTCCACGTGAAAGACTACGGAGCTTATTTTTGTTTTGGCGCTGGTGTGCAGCACTGCCAGAGAAGCGCGCTCAAGTTGGCACAGACCGAAGCTGGTGAGCCACCCAAATTATTGTTGGGTGGTTCAGTCCCTCTCTATTTCAAGAAGCCTCTGGCTATAATGACAGGAAGCTTGCAGGCAATTTTAAGCCAAACCTCAGAGAGACTGGGATTCAGTCTGTGTTAAAGGCTCCTTATTAAAAGCTGTCCACTCTGGATTCTGGGTGGAACTTTGATATCTGCATGGAGTAAAGAATAAGGGGCACGTTTGCAAAATCAATTGTGCAGTTTTTATATTTACTGCACGTTTACCACATATGTCATTTATTACACAGTGGAAAACCGTTAAATGCACAGTAGTTGTGCCAAGTGGCATTATGCTTTTAACAGCTTTATTCGTTTAACAGCTCCAGTTCTCATTATATTTTGCCATGTGGTACATGAGATTTTTATGCATTTAACAGTTTAAGAGGGTTCCATGGTATTTTCCTTTTATGTATTTCATACTATGCCTGGGATTTTGTGAGGGGGTAGAGGGGTTGCGCTCTGTAACCCCTGTATCCTGACAAGAGAAAGCAAAAGGCAAACAAAATTAATCATTAAATGAGGAAGGAAAAATTAATCAGACCTCCATGTGTCAGGGCACAAATACCTGTAACAAGGACAAGGCTCTTCCATGTGCTTTGATAGCCTTTGATGCTTTGTTTATATGCCTTTCAACCTCTTACTCTACATCTACTTTAAAGCCTACAATGTCTTTTCCCTGCACAGAGGAAAATAAAGTATATACTTTGCAGAGTGCAAGCATCTAGATATGTCTATCCCCCTCTTTCACTGTCACAGACACATTTGTGCATTTTTGTGTGCATACTGATGCCCTCTCCTCAGACAACTGATTTCATCCAGGATCAGATGCAGCCCCTGTCACTGAGTAAGCAATTCCTTCCAGCAGCCTCCAATCCACTTGCTGCCCTTCCTACAAAAAATTCTGTCTGTCCTCCTTTCCGCAAAATCCCTTCTGGTGCATTATATTTTTTTAAAGAGTTGGATGAAATTTTTAAATTAATGGATCATCTTCAAGGATTTCATCACAACCTACGTTTGCCTGCATGTATTTTTTACACCCAAGGTGGAAATTAATCCAGAACTCACTGCAGTGCCTTCTCATGCCTTTTTCTAAAAATGATTGGATCTGATGTGAATTATTCACATGGCAATACTGTATGCAGCACATACAACACACACACAAAAAAAGGGGAACACCTGCTTAATACGCTGTTTCCCATTGCCTTCCTTCATTTAATCACTTAAGAAAACAATTTCTTTACCTGCCAAATGGGAAGAATACCATCATTTTGAAAGGTCCTCGTTCCCACTAGCAGAGGTGTAAGTTATAAATCACAAGTGGGCAAAGACATGCGTGTTTGTACAAAAGGGGAGAAAAGCTTGGCTGTGAGCTGATCCTTTCCTCAGCCTATTTTAAATGGGAAAAGGAAACCACTTAAGCAGGCAAAAGCCAAAAACACAACAGGTTCCCCAGAGATGAAGATTATTATTATTGTAGGAACAGATGTATTTTTATTGGTGGGAGGAGGAGATGGGTCTAGTTCCAACCCCAGAGTTTGCTTTAAAAACAAAACCCCCAAAAGCCCCGCAACAACAAAATCCCCTCTACCACTCACCTGACTTTTATTGGCAGCCACTTTGGCAAACAGAGCTTGAGATACCTTGGCCCTTTTCATCTCCTGTTGGATCTCGTCATAAATGGCAGCTGTGATGTTGACATTGGCGCTGTCCGCCTTAATGGGGAGGTCTGTTGTTGGTGTCGAGGTTTTGGCCTACCAAGAGACCATGAAAATAATAATTAAAAAAGTGCTGCTTTCAGCCCAGCCATCTGTGCAGAAATTATCAAAGGATTTCAGTCAGCTGATGCCAAACTGCATTAGCTACAGAGGGACACTTCCTGTCCATTATTCTAATCAGGTTAATTGTGATTGGAAATAATTGCAGTGCATTCCTATAGGACATGCAAGGCCCTGTCAACTCTCCCCCTCTCCCTCTCCCAGCATGTTTATTGAGCAGCTCAAGAATAGGATAGGTAGCCAGGGCACCCAGCTGCAGGCAGTCGCTGAAGTTGGCTTTGCCAGCTAGCTGCTGCAGCAGAGGCACCGGCCCCTACCGTCTCCCCCCTCTCTAAAAGTGGACTACACCTTGGAGGAAGAGCCAATTCTCCCAGCAAAAATGAGTAAATGGGTAGAGGTCTCTAAATAATAAATTATTACTCAATTTAATGCACTCCCTCAAGTCTCCCTCATCCTTTATTAAAACTATACGTATGTCATTTGAGTATGTATGGTTTCCCAGCCTTATCATCATTATGCTAGCCAGACAGTCACCTAATTTCACCTAGGAAATCAGTGTAAATGAAAAAAAACATCATTTCATAAAGCTGGGCTTTGGCATGCCTTTGATGTGCTGCCCTCATTCTCCTAAACTCATATTGAGATTTTGTGTATTCCACTGCACTCCTTTTAATTGAATGATTTCCCATCAGCTTCTGTGACAAATGAAGGACAATAACGGACGCTGCCAGTACTTTCCCGGGGCTGGACTACCCCTACAAGGCTCCTATCAATACAGTTCAGCAGACTGCTACAGGATTTTTATTTTAAAGCCCCTCGGCCACAGCAGTCACCAGAACGCACTGTCAGGTGATGGAGCAAGGGCCATGCAATGCTCGCTGAGTGCTCCCGGCACCAGCAGCCCCTTGGAGAGACAGATCTCATTTGCTTTCCTGAGCTCAAAGAGAAGAGGTACCAGGGCTGAGCGCTGTACCCCTTATATCTTTTACGGGAAACATGTAGATTACTAATACAAAATCTCTCTTTTCTCTTGAAATGTAAAGGTCTTAGGAAACAAAACAACCTAGGTGGCAAAGCTTACACTTCCCAATAGATCTGAACCTCCCATAAACCCTGGTGACATTCAGATATTTGGCCCAATTATAAACCTTTTCAGCTGGCTCCTGTTTTCGTGCCAGAGTTGAAGCCTGCTAGAGTACATCTAATGTTAATTTTTAACTAGTTTGACATGCCCAAATACCTATTTGTTAATGGGAAGGTTAACTAGGCAAAACCCAACCTCTTGAACTTCTCCTTCTGTTTTGCTGTCCTCCAAATGTTCCTCTAACATCTTCTTTTGTACCAAAGGCCACATTAATAATGAAGCCAAAATCCAATCAAGACAACAATCTAGACTAATCACTCCTGCAACTGCTTCCAGATAAAGCTTTAACCAACCTGGATCTCCCATTCCT